ATGTCACACTGCCTCCACTCCTGATGGTCATCAGAGCTTGACCACTATGTCGCACTGCCTCCATTCCTGATGGTCACCAGAGCTTGACCACTATGTCACACTGCCTCCACTCCTGAATCGTCACCAGAACTTGACTGCTATGTCACACTGCCTCCACCCCTGGTCACTAGAGCTTGACCGCTATGTTGCACTGCCTCCACTCCTGAATGGTCACCGGAGCTTGACACTGTGTCACACTGCCTCCACTCCTGAATGGTCACCAGAGCTTGACCACCATGTCGCACGGCCTCCACTCCTGAATTACCAGAGCTTGCTGTTCTTGTTCTTCTTGTTGTCATTACTATTGCTGGATGACGACTTTCTATTATTCTTATTTCAAAACATCTCATTTGTCAAACAATACAGCTGACCCTTGAACAGCATGGCTTTGAACTGCACATGACCCCTTATATGTGGAGTTTCTCCCACCTCTGCCACCCTTGAGACAGCAAGACCAACCCCCCAACCAGCCTACTCAACATGAAGATGACAAGGATCAACAACTTTATGGTGATCCACTTCCACTCAATGAATAGTAAATATATTTTCTCTTCCTTATGATTTTCTTAATAATATTTTCTTCTCTCTAACTTACTTTATTGTAAGAATACAGCACATAGTACACACAACATACGAAATACGTGTTAATCGACTGTTTATGTTATTGGTAAGGCTTATAGTCAACAGTAAGCTATTAGTAGTTAAGTTTTGGGGGAGTCAAAAGTTACACATGAATTTCTGCACAGGGGTCTGTGCCCCCAACTCCCATGCTGTTCAAGGGTCAACTTTGTAATAAAAATCTAACTGTTCATTTTGGCTAACAAATACATTAATCTTGCTTCCTATTCAAAGCTGTCAAACTATCCTCCCTACCAAAAACTGCCAGTAGCCATCCTGTCTCCACAATATTGAAATACTATACAGGATGAGTGTGTACCTGTCTCCTCCATATTGAGACATCAGACAGAATGAGGGTGCACGTTCCTTACATTCTACACATCCTCCAGAACTACACTGTGGATCTCTTAAAGGTAAAACAAAAACAAATGGGCTAATTCAGAGCCAGGGTATAATTTTTAAATGAGTCAGGAAATATTTGTGAGCTGTAATTTAAACACTAGGTTTCCTAAAATCTCACCATCAGCATTAAAATTCTAGTAAGAAACAAGTAACTAAGTACTAATTTCTTCCTCTAAAATACAAAATAATTTTTAAATGCCTACTTAAAAATCACATCTTTCTTTCTTTCTTTCTTTTTTTTTGTGAGACAGAGTCTCACTCTGTTGTCCAGGCTGGAGTGCAGTGGCATGATCTCGGCTCACTGCAACTTCTGCCTTCCGGGTTCAAGCAATTCTCTTGCCTCAGCCTCCCAAGGAGCTGGGATGACAGGGGCGTGCCACCATGCCCGGCTAATTTTTGTATTTTTAGTACAGATGGGGTTTCGCCACGTTGGCCAGGCTGGTCTCAAACTCCTAACCTCAGGTGATCCGCCTGTCTCGGCCTCCCAAAGTGCTAGAATAACAGGTGTGAGCCACCGCACCCGGCTGAAATCGTATCTTTAAAAACTGCTTTCCTCAGTTTGGAATTTAAATTGCACATTGATCTAAAACTTATCTTTTAAATTTGGAGTTACCATTTCAGGGAGATTACTTTTTAGAGTGCACCATAAAAACAAATTAATAAACCTCTTCTCTTCGTTTTCAACCTAAGCTTTACTTAACCTGACGCGTTTAACACTGCAGGGTTTTCCTGACACTCACCTCTCATTGGGCTTCCTAGGGTCTTTTTCAAAACACCTGGCAACTGTGGCTTCTTCTATAGCTCTCCTTTCTAATAACTTAAAACTCTTCAATGATTTCCCATTGCACTTAAAACAAAATCCTCATTCTTCTCCCTGATTACCAGATAAGCCCTGACCTCTGCTTCATCTTACGCCATGCTCCCTCAGTGATTCTAGGCATGTTGGCTTATTGCTGTTGCTTGAAAACATCAAGTTGACTCTCACTGCAGAGGTTTTGCGCTCACTCTTCTCTGTCTAGCACACTCTCCTTCGCTGGTCATGATGACTGGCTCTCGTCACCGGGCTATCAGCTTAAGTGCTCCCTTCTCAGAGAAGGCCTGCCCTGAAATTCCACGGTCGGTCACCATCACAGGCCCCTACGTTCATTCCCTTGTGCATCGCACTCAGCCTCATTTCCCATCTTCTTACATGGACTATTAGCCCACATGAGGACGTGAGCGCCATGGAAGCAGAGCCCACCTATTTATTGACTGCTCCCTCCCCAGTGCCTGGAACAGCGATGGCGCAGAGTGGACCATGCTGAAAGAAGGGAATTTCACTCCGTTTACTAATGGTAAAAGGAACCTATGCACACTGGAGGAACTTACAAAATACAGGAGAGTTTCAGAAATTACGACCCAGAAAAAAACTGCTATTAAGCATTTCCTTTATCCACCCCTAAGATGACTCTGAAACATTCTTACCTACCAACAGTAAAGAGCCACGGGATATGCTGTCGGGTAAAACGAAAGTCGAGGTGCCGAACAGTGCACCACAGGCTCCAGTCTGTGTCACACACGACGGGGAGGATGAAGTACAGTCATGGCTGCTTTCCTCTGCATAAATCAACACTGACGAGATGCAAGAGACAAAAAAGGGAGCAGCTAGAAGGAGCAGAAAGGAAGGAAATGGAGAGGGGAGGTGACGAGAGAGTCCTTGTCAGGGTCCTCAGCTGGTGTTCTAGGTTTGACCTCAGCGCAAGTACTGTCCATTCAAGAGAAGCACATTTACCAAGCATCTTTCTTTTTCTCCTTCACTCCTGCCTGTGAAAGCCTAACTCTAAGAATGAACCTAGTTGCTACTTTCCACGTGGCTGCATCCACCCTGCCAGGGGCTGCTAAAGCCAGTGACACAGCAGGCCTGTTACTACTGCCCACCTCCAGGGAGGCCTCACACAGCTCAGCAGGCACCACGGGTTTCTAGGCAGCGTGCTCCCCTACTTTCTGATTCACCATTCCCTGCCTCTCCACTCCTGAAGCTCCTGACCCCGGGCCCCACTCACTTCCCTCTGAAGCTTCCCATCAGATGCCACTGATGAGGACTCCCTCCTCAACCCATGGCTCTATCCACAAATCCACCAGCATTTCTACCGAGCTTCTCCCACAGCAATGGAATTCAACAAATGGAGCAGGGATCCTCTGACATTCATTCTCCCCGCCCCCGCCCCCGGCCACCCAAAACCTAAAACTATAAAACTTCTACAAGATAACACAGGACAAAAACCTTTGTGATCGTAGGCTACGCAAGGATTTCTTAGGGCACAAAGAGTACAAAACATAAAAAGGAAAAAAAAGATAAAACTGTATTTCATTAAAACTAAAACCTCTACTTCTTGAAAGATACTGTTAATAAAATGAAAAAACCACAGGCTGAGAGGAAATATTTGGAAAACACATAGATGATAAAAAACTGATGACCAGGGTAGGTAAGGAACTCTCACAGATGAATAATAAAAAGACAAACAAGCCGTATAACCCCAGCATTCTACTCCCGGGCATTTATCCAAGAAAAATGAAAACACAAGTCTACACAAAAACCTGTACATGAAGCACACACCATGACAGTCAGACGGGAGAAATACATTTCAAGAGATCTGTTGTATAGCAATGTGACTACAGTTAAGAATAATATACTGTAGTAATTTTTTAAAATGTAGAGAGTGGATGTTAAGTGCCCTTACCATAAAGAGTTAACAATGTGACCTAATGCATTTGTTAGCGTTAACCATTTCACAATGTCTATATACTTCAAAATGTCATGTTGTACACAGTAATAACATATAATGATGGTATCTGTCAATTAATTTCTGAAAAAAGTAAAACTATGGAGACAGTAAAAAGGTCAGTAGTTGCCACAGGTTGGGGTGAGGGAGGGAAGAATAGGTAGAACACAGAAAAATTCTAAGGCAGTGAAACTGCTGTCATTCTCTGTATTTGTCATTACACATTTGTCAAAACACATAGAATGTACACCACCATTGTACAAGGTTCAAGACTGAACCTAAGGAAAACTACAGACCCTGGGTCATAATAATGTGTCAAGGCAGGTTCATCAGTGCACCTACCACACTGGTTTAGGATATTGACAGTGGGGAAGGATAAGGGGATGAAGGAGCAGGATGAATCTAGGAACTCTGTACTTTCTGCTCAATTTTGCTATGAATCTAAAACTGTTCTTAAAAATATTAAGTCTATTATTAAAGAAAAAAACAATGTATGCCATGTAAAACATTGAAAATATGAAATATTTATGGATAAAGTTCATAAATTATGTATAAGAGATACACTGAAAACTATAAAACATTACTGAGAAAAATTAAAGATCTTTTAAAAATGGAGAGATGTGCCATATACATTATTATTATTTTTTTAGACAGAGTTTTGCTCTTGTCTTCAGGCTGGAGTGCAGTGGGGCGATCTCAGCTCACTGCAACCTCTGCCTCCCAGGTTCAAGCAATTCTTCTGCCTTAGCCTCCTGAGTAGTTGGGATTACAGGTGTGCACCACTGCACCTGGCTCATTTTGTATTTTTAGTAGAGATGGGGTTTCTCCATGTTGGCCAGGCTGGTCTCAAACTCCTGAACTTAGGTGACCTGCCTGCCTCAGCTTCCCAAAGTGCCGGGATCTACAGCTGTGACCTGTCGTGCCCAGCCTTATATTCTTTAATCAGAAAATTCAATATTGTGACGATCTCAACTCTCTCCAAATTGGTCTACGGATTCCATGCAGTCCCAATGCAAATCCCTGCAGTCTTTCTTGTAGATGACACATTGATTTGAAATTTTATATGGAAATGCGAAAGACTCGGTGTCAAGAACCATAAAGGGTCTGAAATGCTGTCTTCCAAGAAGTTAGTCTGCCACAGTTTCCTGGATTTTCACAGAAGACATCAGACTCCTAGGTCAGAGATAAAGCATAGCTTATTGTTCACAGCCATTCCATTCCTGGGTATTTATCCATGATAAATGAAAGCATAAATGTTCATAGCAACTTTATTTGAAATAGTCCAAAACAGTAAACAACCCCAATGTCAATTAACAGATGAATGGGTAAACAAATTGTGGCATATACACATAATGGAATAATACTCAGCAATAACAAGGAGTAACTTATGGATATCTGCAAAATATCCAAAATTTTGGATGAATCTCAATAATGTTGGTGAAAAAAATCCCAAACCAAAAAACAGTACATACCATGATTTCATTTATATAAAATTCTAGAAAAATGCAAACTAATCTACAGTGACAGTAAATAGGTCAGTGATTGCCTGAGGACCCAGCTGGGGAGGAGGGAAGAGGAGATATGGATTGCAAAGGGCTTGAGGTAACTTTACAGGGTGATGGATATTTTCATAATTTTGACTGCGACAATGCTTTCACAAGTATATACATATGTCAAAACTTACAAATTTTATAAACATGTAGCATTTACTGAACATAAATTATGCCTCAATTAAGGTAGAAAAAAATAAAGATAATAGTCCAGAAAATAGACACATATACACACACAAATCAAAACCTAAACAGATTTCTGCTGCTGCGCAGCACAGGAAAAACAGTTTGGAGTTTCAGTCGAGCTAGGTTAACTTCCTGCTGAAACAAAAAACAAACACTCATCAGGAAAACAGGAGAATCCACCTTCTCCACAAACTACATTTATGATGTTAAGAACATAATCCAAAATTATTAGACATATGAAAAAGCCAGAACACTTTGCTCCATAATGAACAGAAAGGCAATCAACTGAGACCATCACTAAGAGGAGCCCAAGAAGCTATTACTACTATGTTTAAGAATATAAAGGAAAATATATTCACTGGCAATCTCAGGAGAGAAACAAAACTATAAAAACAAACCAGATGGTAACTCTACAACTGAAAAATATTATATCTGAAATTCAAACTTAACAGCATGTGTAGCAGAAAGCTCAGTGACCCTGAAAATAGATCAACATAAATTATCAAATTGGAAGAACGGACAGAATAAAGACTGAACAAAATGAGCAGAACATCAGTGACCCTATGGGACAATATCAAAAGGTCTAACACATGTTTAATTGGAGTCTCAGAAGGAGAGGACAGGATAGGGAAAAAAATATTCAAAGAAATAAACAGCTAAAAACTTTCCAATTTGGCAAAAGACATAAATACACCTTAAAGAGGTTCAGTAACCTCCAAGCACTGACAAAAAAAAAAGAAAGAAAACCACACCTAGGCACATCCTAGTTAAACTGATAAAAGCCAAATATAAACAGGAAGGCCTGAAAGCAACCAGAGAAAAACAGCACATGAGATCCATGGAACAACAGACAAATGACATCTGACTTCTTATCAGAAACAATGGAGGTTATGAGATAGTGGAAAAATATCTGTAAAGTGCTAAAAGGAAAAACATATATCAGTACAGAATTCTATAAATTTTTTATGGACTTTTTTGAGAAATGGCTGATTTTACATCTCAGTCATGACATATACAAGATGAACCTGACTTGTCCCATCAGGTAACAAGGAACCTATATCAACAATCACTAGGATCAAGTCAAAAGGAATAGAAGCAAAGATGAAAAGGCTCCTGTTGGCCAGGCGTGGTGGCTCATGCCTGTAATCCCAGTACTTTGGGAGGCCAAGGTGGGTGGATCACAAGGTCAGGAGTTCAAGACCAGCCTGGCCAAGATAGTGAAACCCCATCTCTACTAAAAATACAAAAATTAGCTGGGCATGGTGGCAGATGGCAGTCATCCCAGCTACTTGGGAGGCTGAAGCAGAGAACTGCTTGAACCCAGGAGGCAGAGGTTGCAGTGAGCCAAGATCGCACCACTGCCTTCCAGCCTGGGTGACAGAGCGAGACCCTGTCTCAAGAAAGAAAAGAAAAGAAAAGAAAAGAAAAGAAAAGAAGAGAAGAGAAGAGAAGAGAAGAGAAGAGAAGAGAAGAGAAGAGAAGAGAAAAGAAAGAAGGAAGGAAGGAAGGAAGGAAGGAAGGAAGGAAGGAAGGAAGGAAGGAAGAAAGGAAGAAAGGAAGAAAGGAAGAAAGGAAGAAAGAAAGAAAGAAAGAAAGAAAAGAAAAGAAAGAAAGAAAGAAAAGGCTCCTACTAGCTAAAGACTGGGCAACTGGACTCCAACAGGGACAAAAATTGAGATGGATTAAAACCCACTAAATATGTTTAAATCAATGAGTTCATAATGATATAAAAATTTAATTGGTGCCTTTTGTAGGTGGCAATGAGTCATTCTGTTAAGTTGAAAACAATGGATAAAAGAAATCAAGCATTTATCGTTTTTGGTTTTTTCTATATGAACTATACCTCTGGGCAACCAAGTAGTATATGAGGGGAAGTATTTTGAAATAATTCCATAAAATGTACAAATACACTCATAATACACATAATGTGTGCATCAAAAGTGTAGTGGTTACTTTTGGAGGAAAGAAGAGGCTGTGATTGAGATGGGGCAAAGGTACAACTTTATTCTATCATAGGTCATATGCTCCTATCATACCATTTATAAAAATTAATTTTCAAATGCTTAATACTTAATAATTCATTTCTTGAAATTTTCTTTTTCTTTTTTTTTTTTTCAGACAGGGTCTGGCTCTTTTATCTACCCAGGCTGGAGTGCAGTGGCACGATCTTGGCTCACTGCAACCTCTGCCTCCCAGGCTTCAGCGATCCTCCCACGTCAGCCTCCCGAGCAGCTGGGACTACAGGCATGCACCAGCACACCCAGCTAATTTTTGTACTTTTTTGTAGAGACAGGGTTTGGCCATGTTGCTCAGGCTGGTCTTGAACTCCTGGGCTCAAGCAATCTGCCCACCTTGGCCTCCCACACTGCTGGGATTACAGGCATGAGCCACCATTCCTGGTCAAACCAGAATTTCAAAAGGTGAATTTCAACGTATGTAGCTGCCATTAGTAGCCGTATTTAGGATGAGATGGATTGGGAGGCGCAAACCAAGGATGCGTAATAATCATTATGAAATAAATAATAAGTTATCTGGGAAATGGCCATTTGTCCAACATTTACTAAGTGCCTACTAGGCATTGTACACCATTATAAGTGCTAGGAATGAAACAGTGAATAAAATTGACAAAAATACATCTTCTTGTGGATTACATTCTAGTAGAGGAAGAAAACAAACTAAATGAGTAAAATAAAGTGCAGTCATAATGCCCTGGCGGAAAAGTGGAATACAACACAATGGGCAGATGAACTGTATCCTGTTCCCTCGCTTCATTCTCAAATGAAGGGCAAATGCAGGGTGTCTAAGGTTCTTTATCAACAGCAAAGACGTGGGGGTAGGAATGGAGGAGGTGAAACCAGGCCAGTGCCCAGCGGACGACCCTATCTCAGACTTGACTTCAGGAACTAGGGATGTTGGAATATGGGTCCCTATTATTCTCCCCCAATCTGGAATGGGCTGAAGAAAAGGCCCATGTCAGATGATTGCAGAAATCCCTGCTGCCCTCCTGGAACTCAGAATCCACATGGCAGGATCTGAAGGCAGGATGTGTATATGTAGAAGAGGCATCACACTTTATTTTTCATTTGCATTTTATTGATTGATTGATTGAATGATTGATTGATTGAGACGGAGTCTCGCTCTGTCACCCAGGCTGGAGTGCAGTGGCGTGATCTCGGCTCACAGCAAGCTCTGCCTCCTGGGTTCATGCCATTCGCCTGGTCAGCCTCCCTAGTAGTTGTGACTACAGGCACCTGCCACCACACCCGGCTAATTTTTTGTATTTTCAGCAGAAACGGGGTTTCACCGTGTTAGCCAGGATGGTCTCGATCTCCTGACCTCGTGATCCACCCACCTCAGTCTCCCAAAGTGCTGGGATTACAGGAGTGAGCCACCGCGCCCGGCCATCATACTTTTCAATAAGGTATTCTAGAAAAGCCTTGATGAGATGACATATGAATAGAGCCCAGAAGACACTGAAGAAGCCAGCAGTAATGTAGGATGCATGCACATGTACATACGCACACACGCACACTCACACATCCACTCAGTGACATGCACGCACACTCACACACAGACACGCATACACACACACACACACACTTGCAGCAAAAGGTTCTGGTGTCATCACCAAGTCTCTGGCCATCTAACTTAAACAGGAGAGAAAGGATAATTTTTAGAACCTCTACGCACCCTCAATTGTCATTCATACTCTTTTGCTGTCAGGTTAATTAAGAAACAGTAAAATCAGGGACCTGGGCCATCACACAAGCCTGGCTTTATAACTCGGATCTCCCGTGTAGGAAACGTATGACCTTAGACACTTGCGGAACTTCTCTGTGCCTCAGTGTTTTCACCTAAAGGGAGCATACTGGTATCTGCCTCAGAGTGTCTGCGAAAATTAAGTAGCTGATGTACATGAAGCGATAAATACAGAATATGATACCCTGTAGATGCTCAAAAAAAATTGGTACATTCCTAAACTTCAATACTAAGACATCTCCCGCAAAGCCCCACTCGCAGAGTTGGTATCAAGGGCCATAGCAATAGTGTCAACGGCTGTATCTGTTTGAAATCTGATGATAACAGGTCTTTGAAATCAAATGCTGTCTGAAGGAACTGTGGGTCAGTTTCATTACAACTACAAGAGACTAATTTTTTTGCTTACACTGTTATTTTGCCAGGTCATATTTCTGGAAATAAGCGAGCTATAAGGGCTTGGTGATTTTGGGTCTGACAGTATTGTCAATGAAAGACATAAGAGAGGGAGAGGGAGAGGAGAAGAGAAGAGAGAAGAGAGAAAAAAGGAGAAGGAGGAGAGAGAGAAAGAGAGAAAGGGGAAAGGTAGAATTGTTCCTTTATAATATGAATAGCAACACAAATTGTTTCAATTATGTTTCAAGGTAGAGGAAGAGACTGTTTATTTTCCATTCCTTTCCTGTCTGAGGATACCCAGTTTTCTACTTCACTCCACTTTGAAGAGAACTGGTTTCAGATAAGTAAAGCCAAAAGCACAGCTCCACCAGCATTCTCATTTCACTCTTCCACAAGCAAAGTAGTATCCTGGATGACTTAAAAGCAAAAACAACACACACGCACATACACACACACCCTATAATGTACCAGTGAAATCTGATGATAATATTGACATTAAAATAATTCATAGCTGCTGACATGTGCTGAGCACGTGAATATGTCCTGGCCACGATTCTAAGCATGTTACACACATTAAACTCACTGCAATCCTACAGTAAGTTCTCATTAACAGTAGATGTATTGAGAGGCAGAACAAACAAAAAGACTGAACTTAGTTAATAATCTAAGATAATGTTCAACACGACACAGATACGAACTTGCCAATCAATGAGATTTTTCTGCCTCCCAGTTCAGAAAGTACCTAATCAGTAAGGATCAGAACTAGTGGAAAACTAGGTAAGTATACATGCAAGAACAACCCCTGCTAATGATCATAATTGTAGCCTAGCTGTTTAGGAGGTTCTAAAGGATCAAACACCAGGAAGAAAAACTAAACATACAATTCAGGAACAGAACCAGCATCCAAGTCCAAATGATACAGTACTACTGGCAATTGCTTGTAACATCACTCACTCCTTTGATGACCTGCAGACCAGTGGTTTTAGAATAAAGAGGAGGATCTTACTATTCGATTACAAAAATTCTTTGGGAAAAGAAAGTGACTCTTAACAGCCAGGCCAGTTGTTATTTTGATTATAGATTTTGAACTATATCCTAGAGTTCTTTTACTATGGGATATAAGAGAAAGCAATAGATTTCATGTCCCTATTTGTAATAAAACAGAGCCCAAATGTAATATAACAGAGCCCAAATGTTAATATGCTACTGAGGCCATTCAAACCTCTTTGTAAGCTGTCAACTCCATAAATCCTCAATTTCCACTCTTCCCTACTCCTACCTCCCCCAAATAATTCAACTGGCAAAGTTTCTGAGAAATCCCTAAGGTTAGCAGGAAAAAAAAAAAAAAAAAACCCAGAAATGTTGAAAAGAACCCTGGAGTGTGACATACCTGAAAATCAAGAGAGTTCCTTCCCAATGAATTTAGAACCTAACAGTACTTTCATAACTTCTCTAATTTCCCCTACCTTTTTCTTTCTTAACCTTAACAAAAACATCACTTAAGATACTGAGGTAAATAATCACATAAAAAAAAGCTGAGAGAAAGCTAAGAGCTTTTCTTAGATATTTATACCCGTGTGAAAGAAAAAAGTCATTATTTCCCTCAAATCAAAATACAATTATCCTTTCATGAAATAACTCACAAATAGGATGAAGAATTCAAGAAACATAAAATCAAAATGCCCTTTAAAACATGAGAACAAGTCTGAGTACAGTCCCGTGACATCCACAAATGATACGCTATCCAATGTCCACCTCCACGCTCCGAAGACTGTACGGCACCAACCCCCTTCCTCTCTGGGGGTACCCATGGCTACCCTGCAGGCGTCTTGCCAACTTCTCCTCCAGTTCCAGAGAACTTTCTCCTGGACAGACTGTCTAAGGGGGCAGTGGGAAGAAAGTGCACTAACTTGCTAATGGGATAAAACTATGTACCTGTGGTAGGGAAGGCAAAGTTTCAGAAATGTTGAAAATGATTATATTTATAAGTGAGCTGTGGCTGTTCCATGGTGAAGAACACAAACAGCTGAGGAAATATTCTTCCAGGATTCAGAAACTAGCATCCAATTCAGCAGAGAAGTCACTCATATCGTTAAGCAAGGAGGGAAGTTGTGACATTCATACGTGTTGTTTCACCTTTGTCTTCCTCATCAGCATAAAGGAAAATATCAACCAACGTTCAAGTTGGAACTATATTCGTCTGTCAGTCGTAATAGTGGTTTGCTTATGGACATGAGAGCTGGGAAAATTAACAAAAGCATTCTCTGAGTATCAGTTGGCTACATGGAATTTACTACAAAGGATATTGTTTATCTCATGAGTATTTGTAAATGGTTTACTACACATTTTTATGGTAGTAAAACAAACTTGTGAAGCATTCTTTCGGTTTTTTGTTGTTGTTGTTGTTTGTTTTCCTTAGAACCAGTTGTTAAACATTGACCAGAACACCAGTGAGCGAGACGCTCTTTAAGTTGGCTTCGGAGTCCTTCAGATAAAACCCTAATCTTTGGTAGCTTCCTTGCTACTCGGTATAAGAAATGTTCCAATTCACTTTGCAGATTTTCTGCCCCAGATTTGGAAACAGCCATTTTTCTAAGGAGCCCGTGTTCCTTTTAGAGGGAAATAAATTCAAGGCAACAATCTGGCTTTATTGGTCCTCGGTGTTACACGGCTGGTCACCGTTCCGAGGCTTCTGCTCTGAACTTTTGTTATTCAGATATTAGACTTCCTGGACTGGTTCTATAATTAAAAAAAAAAAAAAATCTTTTCTCTTTTAAAATCTATTTATTTATTTATTTTGAGATGAACTCCTGTGTTGTCTGCCCAGGCTGGAGTGCAACGGCGTGATCTTGGCTCACTGCAACTTCCACCTACTGGGTTCAAGCGATTCTCCTGCCTCAGCTTCCTGAGTAGCTGGGATTACAGGTAGGCACGCACTACCACTCCTGGCTAATTTTTATATTTTTAGTAGAGACGAGGTTTCACCACGTTGGCCAGGCTGGTCTCAAACTCCAGACCTCAAGTGATCCACCCACCTTCGCCTCCCAAAGTGCTGGCGTGAGCCACTGCGTGCAGCCAAAATCTTTTCTGATTCTGCTTTTTCTAGGATTTCCTTACCTTTATCTTCTAGTTCTCTACTGCATTTAAAAAAAAATTTCTGCTGCCATGATTCCCCATTTCCAAGAGCTCTTTTGGCCGGGAACGCTTCTTCGGTGGCTTCCCCTTCTTCTTTTGCCCCATTTCCTCCTTTAAAATAGCACCCTGCTCTTGTTTCCTGGTTATCTTTTCTTGCCCTCTCTTAGAACACTAGTAAAGAACTATTTCAAGTTAATTCCTCTTGCATGACTGTTTCCTCCAGGTTGCTTTTTAGTTGGTTTTGTTCTCTTTCACATTAGAGGTTTTCTTCCTCTGTCTGGTAATCCTTTAGAAGAGAACTAAAAAAGCTGGCTGAGAGCTCTGAGTATGTCAGTGGGACTTAGGGCTTGGGAAGTGGGGATTCCACTGTAGAGAAATCAGATTGAGCTATTTATTTGGGAAATGCTACCATCAATATCTTCAGGTATTCTATCTTGGTGTGGTCAGAACGTCTAGAGAAATCTCGAATCTCCTCCCCAAAGGATGAAGAAATGGCTACCAGCATCTCAAATGGAAGAAGGCTGGACATCTCGGCATCCGGCGTATTCACATTCCATGAATTCCCCCTTGTTTTCAGGATGCCATCCTGCCTTCTGGTCTGGTGTGTCGTCACAGGCCTCAACCCACAGTCCCTTTGTTTGGCCCTTTGAAGTCAGTCTTTTGTAGAGGCAGTTGCTCAGCTGCACCATACCAGGGAGGAAATCCATGTATCCATTTGATTCTTAAACAGATTTTCAACCATTTCTCCCCCTCAAGTCCAGAAGTACCTGAAGCCACAAAGCCTGGGGCTCTGGATGGGTCTTGGGTTTCTTCATTGCTGACTTCGGATTCAGTTGTATTGGGTCCGCTG